TCTTTGTTCAACTTTTCATCTTTTTTTCGTTTTCTTTCTTTATTTTTATTTTTCTTAGTTTGACATCTTTTCTGTATGTTTCTTTTTCCTTTTGTATTATCAATATCTTGGCATAGCTATTAAGCATACCATCGATATTTCTGGTAAATTTAATTAATTATCCAATCAACTTTCATATTTTTTGTATTTGCTCATCAAATTTAGCTTTATTAGCTCCTTTTACTTATTTTAATCTTCGTATATTTCATTTATATTTACATCGTTTACGTTTTTTTTTTTATTTGTCACAAATATTTTCACAAATATTTCATCCCAAATACAAAGACAAAAAAAAAAATCACATTTTATCATATTGGATCGGATGGAAACATTTATGCTAAAATCTTTTAATCTGAATAAAAAGAAACGAAAATAAAAGAGATAAACATGAAATATTAATAAATTAATTAGAAAAATTAGTAACATTATGTGACATTTTTCAAATCAATTTGTCATCAATGAAATGGAAATGCATTTTAAGGAAAGAATGAAAGTAAGATGGGATTGCGTGCGTAATATATGATAGGATTGTTTGCGCAAATCTTCATGCTTTTTTTTTCCAACAATTTTATGCATTCTTGTATTGCATTTCTTCGTCAAAGTACTAGCAAAAATGCAGTAGGCTTTTCTTTCCTTTTCCTTTTTTTTCACATTTATTATCTTTTCAAAACAAAAAAAAAATTTCAATTTTACCATTTTATTTTTTTGAATCTTTTATTTAGTGTAACTTAACCTTTGATCTTGCTAACATTATTTCTTCTTTTTTCTTCATTTTCTCTAATTATTTTTTGTATTTTAAAACTTTGAATGGATTTTCAATTTTCTAAATCCTTAGTCTAGTACAGTTTAATCTTTAATCTTTTTTCTTCACTTTCTCTATTCTTTTTTGTGTTTTAAAAATAAACTTTTCATTAAATTTTGCCTGATAAATATTTGTGAAATATTGGAACATTGATGCGATTAAGGTTGGCTGTTGAAAAAGAAAAGGAAAAAAGATGCCTCATTATTTATTTAGCTTTAGCCTGGAAAAAAGAAAAGTATTTAACCAAACAAAAAAAAAAAGAAAATGATTTTAATCAAATTTTTTTACTCTGTCATTCTTAACTTTGGCAAATTTCTTTCTTCAATTTTTTTTTTATCCTCGGAAATTAATCAAAATCAAGTCATTCAATTGTATCTTTTTTTTTTATTTCAATATTAATTTTCATTGTTCCTTTCTCCTATCTTTCTACTTAAAGAAACATCTTCAAATCTTTTTGCTATTTAAATTTTAATTTTAATTCATCAACTTTATCGATAAATAAATAAGTAGATTTAGCAGCATTGAAATGAAATATTATTGCCTATATAGAGCGAATTTTAACGGAAACATTAAGAAATGATTGGGAAATTTTCATTCTCTTTTCCATTCTTTTTTTTTTTCATTCATTGAATAAAGAAATTTTCAACAAACATTTTTCAATTTCAAAATATTCTCAAACCATTCCTTTTTGATAATTTCCTATTCCTTCCTTTTATTCATTTCTTATTGTAATTATCTCTTTAATTTAATTTGAAGCCAATTGATTAAATTTCATTTTGTTAGCTAAGGAAAGCGAACTATTAAATTTTCAATGTTTTAAGGAAAAACAGAAAGAAAGGAATGAAAAATCAAACAAATTATTAAATTTCAGAGTTGTGGATGTGAGCGATGCTAAAACATGCGCTTTATTAATGGCAAAGATCAAGGAAGCCGCCCAATCATCGCAGTAAGTTGATTAATAAAGCACAATTTTTTGCCAATTTTAATTTTTCATTGATTTAAAATTCTTTTTATAAAAATTTACTGTGCAAACTCTCATAGGACTATTATAAAATTTTGCCACAATATTAGTATATGTCATAAATTTTTTTTAAAAATTTGTTTTATTTTCTTTCAGCCTTTCTTTGATTATTTTATTGATTATCCCTTTTTTTTATTTTGATTATTTTATTGATTAAAAAGTAAAAAAATCTTTTCTAATTTTTTTAAAATTTCATTATCATAATTTCATTACCATGTAAACATTTCCAGTTACAAATGAACATTTTTATTAATTTTTAATCTTTTTTTTGGTGCATTTTTTTATTGAAATTTTTATGCGAACTTTTGGATCAGTTAAAAATTATCTTTATTTAAAATTAATCTAATGATTTCTCGTTCTGTTAGATGGAAATGAGCAAAATGAGGTTAATTATATTGGAAATATCGAATATTAGTATTACTATACTTGGAAAAAATAATTGGCAATTTCATCCTCTCATCCTCTTATTATTAGCATTACCTCCTATGCCATATGATAATTAACTCATTAATTTAACTCATTAATACCGTCAGAGATAGATTGAAAATTTTCAAAATTTGATATAATTTTTATTGCAATAACATTGAAATCATTCATAAATCGAACAACTATCAAATTCACATTATTGAATTCTCATATTTCAAAAAATATCGCAGTAATTTTACCATTTCTTTTTTAAATTCATTTCTTTATTTCGATGAATTTAAATTGAAAACGAAATTCACTTGCAAATTGTTAATTTAATTAAAAATATCAAAATGTTATGATTAATTAGTGATCAATTTTTCTTTATGTATACATTTATGCACATGATAATTTAAATATTTGCCTACTTTTATCAATGCATTTGATTTCGAATATCTCCATTAGTATTATTACTTGAAATGTTAGATCATTAGCATCATTACTTAAATACTGTCTAATGAGATATGATTGGAAAAAAGAAAAAGAAAAAAAAGTGAATTCAGAATATTTCAAAGATATGAAAAAAGAGCTAAAAATGAGTAGGTTTCTAACTTTTCTCTTTGGCTTATTGGAATTCATATTTAATGACCTAAAACTATTAATTAATTAATTTTAAGACAAGTATGTTTTACTGTTAAATTACTTTTCCCTTTTCTTCTACCATACCTTATCAACCAATTTCTACTTCTAATGTGTCTATTATGGAGCGTATTATTGGATGGATTTATTTGATAATCTGAAATTTCCGGTAAATAACTTTTTTCGGAAGATAGATAGTTCATTTAAATATTGTTTATTGTTAGTCGAAAAAAAAACAAAGAAGTGGTTTATTTCACATGTAGAAACATTGATAAACAGTCTTTTCGGAAAAATGGATTATTTATTTGATGTGGGATTATCAGTAAATGGTCTTTTTATTTGATAAATAAAATCTCCGATAAACAATTTTCTTGTGATGTAAAAAAGATGGTTTAATTGATATGTGGAATCGCCGATAGTTTTTTCGGAAAATGTTTACTTCATTTGATAAGCAAAATTTCCGGTAAACAATTTATTCGATAAAATTGATGGTTTATATGATACGTGGAATCTCCAGTGTTAACCTTTTCGGAATGTGGATAATTGATTTAATAATATTCAATGAAATCTCCGATAAACACTCTTCGCGTTATTCTAAAATGTGAATAGTTTATTTGACATGTAGAAATTTCGATAAAAAGTCTTTTCGGATTTGGAAGGTGGAATTTCCGGAAAACAGTTTTCACACCATTCGGAAAAGTGGCAAAAGTTACAAATTCAAAGTATAACAATTTTAATTGTGAGATATTTCAAAGCTTTTATTCAACGATTTGGAACTTTAAAAAGTATTATCAAAATCTTTTTTTCATATTTTTCCGGTTTGTTTTCATTTTTTTTTACTTCTCGCACATATTTAGTAATATTCAAAAATTTTTTTTCATATCATTTCAAAAAAATTGAAACTTTTAATTTTTTATATTTTTTTGAATTCTTTTTAAAATATCCTTTTGTTTGATATTATTGCTATTTGTTAGTTTAATTTTTTCCTTCCCAAATTCAATTATCAATGCATTACTAAAATCCAAAAATTTAAAAACGAAAAAATTATTACAAATTTTGTCCTATCACTAAAATTTCTATGCATTTAAATGATCATTTTAAAGCATGTTTAAATACAAAACTAATTCTTTTTTTTTTTTGCTATTTGAAATAGTTGTCATGCCATTGTCAAAAGGATTGGTAAGAGGAAATAGTTGTCATGCCATTGTCAAATGAATTGACAAAAGGAAATGGTCATGCTATTGCCAAGTGGATGATAATGTTGTGTTTGTTGTTATCAACTGCATTGATGATTACAATCTTCATTTCACGTACATTAGTTAATTGAAATGTCAGAGAAAAAAAAGATGAAGAAAATTTTGAAGTGATTATGGTTAAATAAAGTAAATGAACTGAGAGAGATATATATATCTGAGAGAAAAAAAGAGTAAAAGAAAAAAAGATTATCTCAAAATACATAAATTAATATGTTAATTAATCTTAAAGTTATTTTGTCTTCCTTTCATAGTTATACTATTATTTTAATATGATTTTTGGATATTATCACTAAAATGAAGTATATGTAAATCGTATTAAAAAAAGAGGGAAAAGAAAAAGGGATAAAGAAAAAAAGAGAAAAAGAGAGGAAATGAAAAATGTTATCAATAATTATGAGATTAATAGGATTAGTTGAAATAACTAATGATAATGATGAAAGAGTTAGAATGCAAATGAATGATTAAAATTGGATAGCAAAAATACTTTTGCTTTTTGTTTTCTTATTAAATATCCCGAGGGATTTCCCGGGGGATTTAACACCTTCAAATGCATCATATAAAAATACTAGAGAAATGAAAATATAGGTGAAAAGGAGAGGACGAGATTAAAATTGGTGCATAAGTAATTTTATGTTTTCCATTGCCGCCATTTTATTTTGGACTTTTTTTTTTTTGTTTCAATGAGGAGTCAAATGAGAATTTTTATTTCATCAAAATCTATTTCATCCCTTGTTTTTGAACCTATATGTTCATTTTATACCGTTTAACTCTATCATTATCACTTACAGTAACTCGTATCTTATCATTTTACAAACTCCTACAGTACTTATCGTTCATACTACATTATCATTTATATTATTTTTGGTGAATATACCCGTAATTTGATTTACTAGCATATATACAAGGAATATTTGACGAACGAACAATGTTTCGTTTGAATGATGCACTTTTTTTTTTTAATTCGATTTTAAAATCTTTTAGAAAAAGGTATGAAAATGAAGTTAGTTAAACTTCAAATATGATTAAATATATTTGAAATATATATTAAGCGGAATATTGATAGCAAAATAAAATGCAAAAGTTTCAATCTTTGTCAAAGTTCGATTTAAATTTTCCGTTCATACTAATGTCCAATCATTCTATTTCTATTCTAATAAATCAGTTATACTATCTTTCTGTTCATCAAAATAGCTGTTTTCAACAATGTTAAAAGAAGAAAAAAATTTGCTTAAATTAAGTAAAATCGGAATAGACTATATATTGGAATACTAATGGAATCAATTTAAAATTGTATTTGTATATTTTCCTCAAAAATAAGACAAAGATATTTTATAATTGGATGGAAAAGTAAATGTAATAGAAAGTACGATTGGATAATTTTGATAAAAAACATATAAATGAACAGATAAACATTCTTAATAAAAATGAAATTTCGATTAATGCGATAAAAAAGGTATTATATTAGTAAATGAAATAAATATATGAATAAATAAGAAATGAAATGAATAGGAAATGAAATAAATATGTGAACAAATAGGAAATGAAATAAATAAAAAATGAGATAAATAAAAAATGAAACAATAAATGGGAAATAAAATAAAAACATGAGTAAATAGGAAATGAAATAAAAATACAAGAAATGGAATAATATAGGAAGGGAAACAAATAGAAAATGAAGTAATAAATAGGAAATGAAATGTAAATATGAATAAATATGAAATGAAATAAATATATAAATGAATGGAAAATGAAATAATAAATAGATAATGAATGATGTAAATTGTGTGAAACGAGAAAATTTTGTGATAAAAAATATTTTAAGTTTTTTTTTCTATTTAAAAAATGGGAAACTAAAAATTATCAAATATAATAGCAAACAAACAAAGCATTTATTTAATCGTTCATTTCAAATTCCGTAATTTGCCATTCAGTATGGCTAACAAAAATTTTTTTCTTTCATAAATGAATCATTTGGATAAAATATGCTTCAAGTTTAACTAAGTTTGTAAGTATTGTCAGAGTAGTTTGTATGTGATATCCATCCTTTATCACTATTTTATGATTCTTAATTTACTAGTCTAATTAAACAGTTGTAATAAACGTGAATGAAAATATCACATTGTTAATTGCAATATCTATCAAATATATTATTTCGTTATAATGAAATAAAGGAGATATTACTTTAATTAAATAAACATAGGATAAAAGTTAATGTAATTTTATGTCCATTTATTTTTATTGTTTATTTTAATTAAACGAAATTTCATTCTTTCTAAAACGTATTTCACGTATTTACTTTACCAACATTTCTTTTTAATTTCGCGTAACGTACGCTATTTTACTTGGATAAGTAATAGTTTGCAGTAATAGTAATGTTAGTGGAAATCGGAAAAAAATCAGCAAACATATATTTCTATTTTATAAAATTTCAACTTCCAAAAATTGTATATCTAAATTTTTGAAGTCAATTGACGACAAAAAAAAATTTTTTTTTGAGTTTCAAGTAAAATTTAGGAATAAATATGATCTTGAAATGAAATCTTAGCCTTTTTACTGTTTTGTTGTTGTTAATAATATTATTTTGAGTAATTTTAACGTTAAGCAATTCATCTGTAAATGTCCCAAAGTTGTAATTTATTTAAGTTGCTAATTTGAGAATTTAATATCCTCATTTTACTGGACAATGAAGTATTGAAAGCCTGGAAATTCACCTGAAATATTCGTTTATTTTAGTTAAATAATCAATTGGTACCACAAATTACAATCATTTCTCAAATAAAAATTTCGAAAATCTTAAAAAAAGAAGCAAAAATGAGCGAAAAATTTCCATAATCACACCTTTTTTTATCAGTTAAAAAAAGATTGAACAAAAAAATGATTACTGATAATTTTAATTATCAAAATTTTTAATACATTTTT